GATTCAATTGTTCACAAAACTCCTAAGCCAAATCTCTTTGCACTAAGTTGTTTTGCTCATCAAATACTAGTTCAGGTTATCAATAATGCTCTCACATATATTTAACAACCTATGATTTTCCGATTTCTAGATGATGTGTCTAAGAAATTCGATTTTAAAGCAAGCAGAGATGAAAAACCAAAAGATATTCCTAACAGGTAGCAATTCTACAAACTCTTCATCAACCTTTGAAAAGGTCCTAACTTAACTAGCAGATTACTCAGACATGATCATGGAATCACAAAACATAACTGAATAAAATTGCATTAAGAGAAAGAGTAAAATAATAAGGGGGTTCGAAATCTTCTCAAAAGAGTACAGGATCTGTCTCCCCAAAAAGCTTTGAATAAATCTCTCTCTAACTCTCTGAATTCTCAAAAACTAAGATAAAAACCAACAATGGCTGAAAAACCTAATAAATAGAGGCTAAACACAATATGGGGCCTTCTTGTAAATAATGGAACTTCTGGGCCAATTCTGCAAATAATGCTCCATCTTTTAATAAATAACCACGACCTCCTTCCTTCATGGGACCATATGGCATACTTTCTTCTCCGAGCTAGGTAATTCGTGGCTTCGACTTGAAATGATCCAAAAGGCTCTAATATTTCCAATTATGCTCCAGACATGCTATAACCTACAAAGACTCTTCTATAACTCTAAAAAGACCAAAAAGACTCAATAAAAAGAACTTATATCATGGTTAAAAACCATAAAAACCATGATATATCAATCAGCATCAACTATGAACTCACATTGTGCTGTATTTGTTAAATTCCAAGCTCTATGCACAAAATAAAGCTCAATAATTATCGCCTGGTGAAAGAATAACAACTTTTTAATCAAATTATATTATCAGATACCATCATTAACGTTTTACTACATAATCTCTTTCATTGCTTTACAAACATCGTACAACAAAATCTCTTCAAAGCTTTAAAAACATCGACAAACCTGGAAATCTAAGAATTTCGATCGAAACTTCTACTTCAAAAAATCGGATATATATCTTATAGTACACAACACTAAGCAAGATATCAGAAGAGAAACAAACCTTTAAAGTCATAAATCATCGCAATTTCCTCTAAAATCTAAGACATTCCCAGCAAATCAGAAAACCTTAAGATCATGGAATCATAACTCAGATTAGCCAGCGAGAGTTCAGATTATTGGATTCAAAATAGATGTTATATCACTAGCGAAAGTGAGCTACGATTGAGATGAGAAATCTCCGGTGAGAGTAAGATACAATTAAAATGCAAAATCTCCGGCGAAATGCAGGTATGATCAAGATGCGAAATCGCTGGCCAAATACGAAATCGCCAGCAAAATAAGAAATCGGCGATCAATAACTCTGATCAACAAATTAATCAATCCACCAGTTTCATTTTGGTCAATCTTTCAATTTTTTGTATGTATTAGTGAAGGCATATGTTAGAGATGGGCTTAACACCCCCATTAAAATCCCTCAATAAATCAAAAACAGCTCATTAAAAATCATAATTTCACCGTTATATTAGGTCGATCTGGTAAAAAAGAAATATTCTGAAATGAGTCTAAATCCTGAAGAAGAAGGAAACTAAGCCCCAGCAGAAAAAGAAGTTTAGCTTTTGTGAAAAGGAAGGAGGTATTTTTTATGCCGCCTCTATTGGGTATAAAAGGAGACCCTCCTTCAGCAAGAAGGGCATCTAGACATTCACACTCGAGACCTAAGACAAAATTTTAGCTTTCTATTTTCTCGCTCTAGATCTCGAATTCCTTCACTTTTACTTAAAAGTTAGGTCGCCGTTCTGAATCTGACGACCTAATTCTCAGTATTTCCTTGAGCTCCAACCAACTATTAATAAAGACTTACTCTTTTACCCTGACAAATCTTTATAATTTCTATAAGTGATATTGAAATTTTACAATTAGTGTCGTCTGTGGGGAAGAATAAAAAAAAGACAAGCTCTAAAAATAACAAGCCTGAGCTTGAAGATGACTGGAACACCACCTCGCAGATACCAACACGATAAAATTGCATGAATTACACATTGATAGAAGATCATCACATTCAGACCCCACTGTGCAACAAACAGAAAACCCTACTGCTCAACACATGGAGAAGCCCAGCGATCCTAACATGGGAAAAGCACCACTGCCACCACCTCCACCACCAGTCACTCCCAACCACATACCTGCCCTCCTACAGGCCTTCATGACACAGATGGACCAGAAGATAAACGAGAAGATCGAGGCTCTTCATGCCCAACAGGTGGCTTACCTTGAAACAATCAACGATGCCCATCAGGGCGACCCACATCGGGAAGATAATAATGCCAACGTGACAGATGTCTGTACCCCTGCAGGTCCACGTCTACCAGCACGCTGGGAGCTAAGCGACAAATCTTCGGCAAGTCACCAGCCAAAGCACAGCACGACAACCAAGAGACCAGAGACTCCAACGCCCAATCTCAAGACCAAACCCGCCTTGCCACCCCAGCAACCACCCGAGAGCAAACCGGGCTAGACCTCCTCCACCAATGGATCAACGATATTACCGTAAAGTTCCACCAATCTACCAGCTCGAAACAGTCCTCAAACTCACTCGGCAAACCCCTTCATGGATAAAACTACTGACCTCATACGCCAGAAACTCAGACCCCTAGAAGCACCTGATGACCCTCAATGCCACCATAGGTCGAGCCCATTCTCAGCTGAAGAATAAGACGCATCCTACTGCCAGTACTTCATAGGATCCCTACAGGAATGCCCTCAAGTGGTTCTCTTCAATGAAACTGAACTTCATAAAGACTTAAGAGCAACTCTCTATACAACTCCTCAAGCACTACTCAATCTGTCTCGAGCACGAGACGACAATTATCGAACTATGGGCCTGCATGCAAGGCAAAAAAAAACCACTACACGACTACATCGGCTGCTTCCGCATTATCATCTTCCCCTGTGATTCTTTGGACGATGTCGTCTTAGCCACAGTAAGGCAAAACGCCAGGAAACACCAAAAGTTCTTCAACAAAATCACCGGAAAAGTAAAACCCTTGACAACATCCTACATAAAGCCAATAAATTCATGAATTTAGAGGAATACGAAACCACTAAAAAAACCAAAAGCACATCAGCCCAACAAAAGGAAGACGAACATCATGAACCTTGACACCACTATGATCACGATAATAAATATAGGGAGACCAACATCACTGTCGTCAACATTAAAACAAATGGGACCGCAGCACGAATGACACATCGGGCCAAGCTGGCAGCGCGAATGACACATTGGAGTCACAACCTTATTGTTCCGGTCATGACACAGATAATTGTTGTGTACTCCGTGACTACCTAATGAAAAAATAGAAGCAGGGCGAAGTCCAACCCGGAGACCGAGATCGGAACGATGCTAGCAACACCGACCCTGCACTGATAAACAACATCACCAAGACGACAACTGACGCGCTCCTGTGCAACAGGCCTGACCTGATGCAGCCCGCACGGACGACAATCCCAAACGAACAGGGGATGACGACTTACCACAACCAGCATCTCCACATCAAAGGATTAATATGATCATGGAGGCCTCCTCCCATGCAATGACTCGATCAACTCGATCAAGAAGTACAAACGCCGAGCTCTCAATTCCAAAACAATAACTCCGGTCTACAATGATATCCCTCCCATCACATTCAAACACCAACGGCTGGACCGCCCTCATAACGATCCCCTTGTGATCTCTCTCCGCATTGGACCGGATGAAGTTTCCAAGATCATAATCAATACAAGCAGTTGTATGGACCTGATTTACAAATCGACACTTATTCGGATGGACATCAAGGATAGCGAGATTAAGGTAGCCCTGAAATCATTCATAGGCTTCACAAATGATTCCACCTTCACCATCTTAACAATTAAGCTGCTTATTCAGATCAGTGGCATCATTAACATCGTCAAATTCGACGTAATTAATAAGCCGACGATCTATAACATCATCTTTATGACGCCTTGGATCAGCTTCATGCGATGTCACTTCATCGTACCATTAATGCCTGAAATTCCCAGCCAAATCAGGCATCATAACAATCAAAAGCGGCCAACGAAAACCCGATCTTGTTACATAGATCTAGACCAACACAAGAACATATAAAGTTCTTAAGTTTTTTGAAAACAAAACAGAAGAAATATCTCGAGAAGCCCACTCAAAGAAAAATTGAAGTAGAAAAGTTTGATGGAAAAGATAGATTACAGTCTATGGAAACACAAGATACTAGTTCAATTAGAGGTTCTTGTCAAATTTTTGTGCCAGTCCCAAAGCAATATGAATAGTCTGATGGAACTGAGGTAAAAGAAACAGAGTCGAAATCTGATACTAAGAAACTAGATGAAGGCATTTAATAGTTTTGGTCCTTCAGTCTATTACATTAGGAAATTAAGTATTGGTGAATTCATTAATCTACTGTATGTGGATGACATACTAATAGCTGCAAATGATATTGATGAGATCAAGAAGTTGAAATAACTGAAATTAAGGCAAATTCAAACTCCACTAAGCATCTCATTTCAACATTAAGAGTCTGACTGATGAAGAACAAAGTGAATCAGCATATTTTGCTCTTTGTTTAGTATGCCTCATCTTCTAAGGCTCTTTGAATCAAGTCATGCCACAAGTTTTCATAACAGATAAATCTTTTATACGGAAGATGATTTAATCATTAGAAGCAAATTAAGAGGATGAACCAGATCGTTTTCCAATTACAATAGAACTCTTAAGTTTCCTGATAAAGAATGAATCAAATTAAACTCTATCAACTTAGAATAAAAAACCTTGGAGAGAAAGCCAAAAACAGAGGAAAACTAAAAGATAAAGATTTGTAAAACCTGGCACTACCAAAACTTTCTACAAGTTGATGTGGTCTTGACCATTCTACGAGAGAGGTTTATGTACATCACACTCCCTCCTAGTGTTAACTGATTCACTTGCGGTAATCTTCAAGAAGAAAGTTCTCAAAACCGGTCCCTTTCAGTGTCTTTTGAACATCTTCCCAATTCTGTACGTGCTGCGACAAAGGACCGTGATGAATCTTCACTTGCCGGCTCTTCAAATCGAGTCTCGGGACCTTTAGAAACTCTTGCACATCGTCTAGTCTCTGCAAGACAAAACAAAATCAGTCTAAGAAGAAACAATGTTTGCGGTGAAACTAGTTATTTAACAAACTGTTCTCACGGTGCGATTCTTGACAACATCTTCGTAGTAGAGAAAGATATGGCGTGTTGTGTTGAAGTAAGAAAGTGCCTTTGAAGTCATCTCTTGAACCTGCTTCAGCTCATTTATCAAAAGAGTCGTGTTGATCAATGGCTTGTAACGCGCCAATATCTCAGCCTGTGAAACCAATTTTGTTTCACGTGTTTAGATTTTACAGAAATCAAGATGTACAGAGATATGCAAAGAAGGAGAAGGAGAAAGAGAGGAAACCTCTTTAGGGGAATGGACGTGGGACTTGTGAGTACCGTTTAATGGCTTAGCATCTCTATCATAAGAATTCGCAAGAACTGAAATCATTCGGCGTAAGAGGTTTCTTCTAAAGAGAAAAATAGCAGAGACGCCTCGGGTTTTGAAGTAATCTACTATCTCTTCATGGTTTTTCATTAGACCCTGCATATGTTTTTATCCCTAAACCATCAGCCACATTACAATGTAAACCAGATGAAACACACAATGCAATAAGAAAAATCATATCAACTAAAAAGTGTAAGGAAACACATTAAGGCTATTAGAACTCAACTCTTCTTTTACAGAGATCCAAAATTCAATCAAAACATGAGTCAAGGGGAAGAAGTACCAAGAAAGTTCAATCAAAACAAGAACCTTATTCAGTTATTCATAAAGACCAATCCTCAAATCAGTTTAGTAGCGTAAACAATCACAATACTACACAGTTGTTTCCTAAATTCCTAGAGCAAATAAGTCTCTTTTATGGATCTAAAGCAAAAGATTGCAGCTCTAGAAACTTTAACTCAGTCCAAATAACAACAGCATAGAGAATCTCATAGTTTCGGATCAGTTCTGAGTACATTTAGCACAAATCTACAATTTCAGCTTCTAAAACAGCAAGTAAACAGTTGGTGTCAGGTATAGAGAAAGAAAAAAGCAGAACATATGTTTATCTTTATTGCAAGCATTGATTTCAACGTTTGTTATTCCCCATTAGCATCTAAACTACAAATCACAAATTTACAATTTCATTCAGCATCTAGACTAACTTAAAACAGTAAGTATAAAGGTAATAAACACAGAGAGGCTAGCAATCAGATTTGGTAAACTTATGCAGTGTCCATATGGAGAAAGAAAAGGTGTAGAACATATCCAACTATTGATTTCGACATATGTTATCCCCCATTAGCATCTAAATTACAAATCACAAATCTATAATTTCATTCAGCATCTAGACTATCTTAAAACAGCAAGTAAACATAATAAACATATAGACACTAACAATCAGATTTGGTAAACTTATCCAGTGTCCATATGGAGAAAGAAGTATATATCTTTATTGCAAAACTCATGATTTCAACACTTTTAGAACCTTACCTGATTAAGCATCCACTTCAAACCAACCGCAGAAGTGCACTCGTTCTTGGAAGCACTACTCAACCAATCTAGGTTATATACTTTGTCCAAGGTCTCGAAAATGGTCGACACATTAGCTCTCCTATCTTTAACCGAGAAAATCTCACCGTTCGAGCTTATGTTAGTATGATTGTTAAGTAAAGTCTCAAACCAACCGCTACCAGATCTCTGCATCGAGAGAATCGCAAAATACCTAACCGGATTGCAAGAACACTCCTCCCTAACCAATTCCAAACCCCAACAGAATCACAATCAACCACCACAAGCATTAGCATCAAGAACCACAGAAAGAACATGAACACTCTCACTCATTTACCTGTTATAAGTCTTAGGTTTAGGATAATGCACATATGGTATGTCCCATGGTTCAATGTTAGGCTCAGGACACGGCCTCTCAAACACTTCAACGTTCAAGAAACCAGCACTAGGGACGACGCCAATTTGCTTCAGACAGATTGAGCAAATGTAAACAGCACAGACCATCACAAACAAGAGAACAACCATTCTCAACACAAGTGGGGATTTTTTAGGAAGCTTGAAGACGAAACTATCCTGCAATAAACAATACACATTTATGACATCTTGTTATTTTGCTTGTTTTAAAAACAAAAGAGCCTAAATCAAGGGCAGAAACAACATGGGTAACACAAAATTTGCCTGTTAGAAAACCAAAAACACCTTAGAAATTCAAAATTAAGAAAGACCCAGGCACTTAAAGACTCGATTTTTATAGAAACCCATATCGAATCAAATGAAATTCCTCAAAATCAGCTACTGATTACTCAAAAAGGAAAACCCTAATCTGATTAGAAGAGGCGTAAATGCCCACAAAACAAAAAAGGTACCTTTGGGATGAGAGAGTGTTCGTCGCCCATGGCTGCTACGGTTTAGAGAGAGAGAGAGAGGAGTGAGAGAGATTTAGAAAGGAAGAGAAGAGAAAGGCATTGAATTATTCACCGTCCAGCTAAAAAAAACACAATAATGAAAAATCGAAAACACTCTCTGATCAACCCATACAAAAAGAAAATGAAAAAAAAAATCTCCAGGAAAAAAAACGACGAAACCTCTGAGAAAATTTTTGTTTTATAAAAACAATGATTAGGGATGCCCGAGAAACGTTGTTCTGTTCCGTTGGATTTGGGGATGCTTCGAATTTACGGATCTCTGCTATAATTATTAAGATTATAAATGCGTCATGACAATTTTCAGATGTTTGCACTTGCTCAGGAGAAAAATTAGAAAAAAAAAGAAGAAGAAACTTTGGGGAAACCCAAAAAGAAAAAATATTAAAGCGCAAAGTTCGAGACGAACTCTCGAGCTGCGAAACGATATCGTTGTGGATGATTCCGACATCTTTCTTTCCTTTTAAAGTATTTTTTCCTGATTTAATTTACATGTTATTTTATTTTCCATTTAAGAAGCAACAAATACATTATAGAATTAGTATAATAACGTGTGACCCATTCCAATTATTTTAGGTTTGACTTATGCTTTTCATTTTTAGTTATTGGAATCTCGGATTCTCGGGTTAAAGTTTGACTTAATCCTCCACATAATTATCTTTCTTATTTTTTCCTCTACGTTTAGTTTCCTCAATTCGTAATTATGAGTGCAATTAGACAACCGATAAAACTAACATGCTATTAGTTTGTATATTTCGGAGGTTTTACAAACTAGTGATAAATACTTAAATAATATTAAGATCTTTGGAAGATCATATAAACAAGTTTTGATAAGATTAAGATCTTTGGAAGATCATACTAACCAATCATATTAACAGAAGATTAAGTTATGATAAGATTAAGATCTTTCCGTTTGAGTTTATGTTAGTAGTACAAGTAAACACTCTAATACACAACCAGCTCTATTTTCCAGAGAGAGAGATGAGTCATTGATTTGGAGTTAACTTGGTCAAAGAAGAATTGGTATACCAACAATATTTTATTCTAAAGATCCATATAAAAATATTTTCTATTTTAAGCGTGATATGCGACCACTGACTAGTAACTCATATAACTTATCGAAATTCATTGCGTGATTACTTCTTCATGTTGGTTAGACATTTCAAACATTATAACTCCATCCAGTAGTTAAAACATTATATGATTAAGTTCATATTCATCCATAGGTATTATCGATCTAGATTTTGTATTTAGTTGGCTGGTTAGTTCATTTTCTAAAAAGTAGATAAATTGGAAAAAAAAAACAAATCTCTTTTTTTTTTATCAACTGGAAAAAAAAATCTAGACAATTTTATTAAGACATTGGCAAAAGAAGTTGTAAAGGCAATTTTATTAGGGATGCATAATTTAGTTGGAAGGGACAAAACTAGGAAAGGAAAGGAAGAACCGTGGATCAAGAGAGAGGCGATCTTGAATTATATAAAAGATGTGAGAAGGGTCTTTACAATTTATAATATGATTAACGAATTTTAGTTGACTGGGATTCCTATATTTTATAAATAGTTTGAGAATTTAAACAATCGTGTTTGTATGAATGTTGTGCCTAAATGTACGTATTCTGGTGGATGAGAAACATATAGATAAAAGAACATTTCATAAAATAAATTTCACTCAGTGTCCATCTCATTTCTAATTTGTCAATCACAGAAAAATACAAATTGAATATAATTTTCAATTTTATGTTGATCTCTTAGAAGCAAACTTGGAGCTGTTTTTTTATGGAACAGCAACATGGAACTAGGTATAACATTTAGGTACAACATTCATACAAATACGATTGTTTTAATTTTTGGTATCATTATAATATCTTTTTTTTTGGTCAAAGGGTATCATTATAATATCTTACTACTAATTTTTTAACCTATAAAACACAAATAATTTGATAATTATCAGTTTTACACATGTTCATTTTATTTTTCAAATCAATTTTTTTATATATATTTTTCATTATTTATCTTTTGGTATCACACAATTTATAATAAAAATAAATGTATTTTCCATAATCCACGATCTTTTTGTTTTAGATCTCATCTCTTTCAAAACAACGTCGATCTTCATATTCAACAAACTTTTTTTTTACAAATTAAATGATCTATATATTTCTTCAAATATGGAAAACAGCAACCATACATTTAAATTTTAACTCTCAAATTCCGTCCACACCACTTCTCTCTTTTTTTGAAAACCCTATATTCTCCACCTTCTCTACAAAATCCGTTGTTGTAGAAACAACTACTCTAACGGTGAAAAGATCAATTCTCGGTGTCAATTTCTCAAATATAAAAAATTGTTTAGTACCCATTAACAGTTGAAGATGATATTTCCTGGTAAAGTTTTGTCTTCTCCATGTGGTTTTTCATTATTGTTTTTAATCTCTGACGACTAGCGTTGTTTTGTATATTTAACATAATTTTTTTTTGATGTTTTCATTTCAGAGAGGTAAACGATTGCAATCCAAGAGTACATCAAAAACATTAGGGATGAATGTTGAATCAGAAAATCACTAGTAGAATTTTATGATTAACAATTTGGGTTTCAGAGAATAGATTCTTATTAAGAGCTCAAAGGTAAAGCGATTATAAGAGATGGTGTAGCCTAGAGGTCGTGCCGAAGTGAAAGAAATTAATGAATGCGAATGAACTAGAAAGCTTAGGAATTTTAGGTCTTGCTCTGCTGCTCTCTAGAATGTATAAGTTGGTCTTCAAGCAATCCGAGACTTCTTATTTATAGGATAAGGAGGTTGGCTGCGGCGAACTCCTTTTTCTTTTCTCTTTCGGGATAATTCCCATATTTTGGATATGGAAATATCATTTTCTTCCTGATTCAGTGGAGACTCTTCATTATCTTCGAATATTCCTCTTCAATCTTTAACTCGGCGTGATTATCTTAGTCTTGATGGACTTTTGTTATTGCCAGAGAAAGCCTTGTAAGAAATGTGCTCATTTCTCCTCTAACAATAAGTCTCCCCCTCCCCAGTTTGTCGAGGTGATTTGCGAATTAGCTCGACGGACTTCATGAAGCGAATTGGTTTGATCTCGCAATAAGCATCAGCTCGCCAAGAGCATTCCTTCGCGATGGCCAGCTCGGCCCGCCTGTATGCTGGTCTGACATGTGGCGTTTCAATGATATTTATAATAATGAACTTTATTTCACGGCCCATTATGTTTTAGGATTTTTGTTCCAAGCAGAAAAAGCAAGAGGTTTCCAGACAGCGAAATTATGCGAATCTCGACACACGCGTCTTATATATCTTTTAATTTAATTTTTGTTCTTGCTGGAACTTCTTCGTCTTCCGCAGTTCAAGGTAAAAACTCTTCATTTCTTGATCGCTCTGCTTCATTCCTGCTGCAAAATTTCTTCTTTTATTTCATTCGTCGTGCATCATATTTCGCAGTAGTAAGTTTGCATTGTTCGTCTTTTCTCGCGATTTTCTGTTTTATCTAGAATTTCCTTGCTTCTTCCTTTTTCTCGATTCTCCATAAATGGCGATGCGATCTTCTGATCTGAAGGGCAAAGGGAAAGTTGTGGATGATGATGATATCCCACTTATTGAGTGTGCCAGACGAGCGCAGTCAAACTCGGTTTATACGTCTCCGTCGATTTCTGAAGAATCCTCGGGTTATCCAGACGCGATTTTTTAGATGACTCCGGCATAGACTCCGAAAAGGAAGGGTGTTAAGCTGCTGGCTCGAGTTTGAGGTCTTACTAAAAAAATTGAAAAGCTGAAGCTCGACTCGGAGACAAAAGAGGACAGGGTGAAGGACAAACGGACCTGGATGACTGCCAGCAGGCTTCAGGAACTTCGTCAAAGGTGCGGTTTCCCTGACGATGTCGAGCTTCTTCTACCACAGTTACACAAGAGGGTAACAACGCCGCCATAGTGTTATTTCTGCTTGTACGAGTCCCATTTTGCTGAATTTGGGCTCAACTTTCTGATCTCTCCGCTTCTTCTGTGCTACTGCGAAAGGTGCCATTAATTGTGTGGTGGCGGTGGCTTGGGAAGCAGAAATTCCATTCAACTAGAATATTTTTGAAAGGATTTCTGTCTTGAAAAGCGGGAGGTAGAGTAGCTTGGGATCACGGCGCCACTTATATACCACTCTGAAGTTCGGCATCGTCGGTAGAGATCCGACAAACAAAGTGCACAAGTGGGATATGTTTTTCTTTTTTTTGTGAAGATCAATGAGGTTTCTGTTGGGAGTTCTGAGATTGAACTTTTCAGGAGATGGCAATCCACGCCTGGTAGTTGGGCTTGCCTTGTCTTCTATTTTAGCTTTCTTTGATATTAATATAGTAACATTGTTACCTTTTGTTTTTGTAGGGAAGGTTAAACTCGAGAAAGAGCCCTTTGGTTTTGACATTGATGTGAAGAAGCTTCGCGAGCTTAGCCAGAGACTTTGGCCAGTGAAGAAGAAGAAGAATCCTTCCGAGAAGAAAGGAAAAACCACGAAGCCGGTGGTGAAGAGAGCCAAGGCTCCGAAAGCAGGTATTTGCATTGTTATGTGGGTAACACCGGACTTATCTTCAGGAGTTAATGTAACTTTTTATGTGCAGCTCCTAAGAGGACAGCGCGGTCAGAACAAAAAGGAATGGGTTTAAAGAGGAGGAGAATGACCCCGGCGGTGGAAGTCACCATTCTTGCGGGCAAGACAGAGAGGTATTGTACCTTAATTGTATTTGTTTATTATCTTGGATGGTTTCAACTTTATCCCTAATATTTTTCATTGCTGATTTTAACTTCACCAGAACTGCAGCGCTGGAAAGGATCAGGCAGTCTGATGATAAGAGGGATGCAGAAGCTGCGCAGGATGAATCAGTCCGTCAAGCTGGTTCCTAAGCGGAGGGTGGGGATAACTTAAATCCCCAGAATGCTGATGCAGGTCGGCCTAAAGCCGTCCCTACTTCTTAAGGAG